CAGAGCTAGAATCCATCCATTCATTCCACCCTTTGCTCACTCTTTCCTTCATTCCACCATGCCTTGGGCATCTACCCTGTGCTGAGTGCTGAGGATATGGGGATGAGTACAGTCATCCCTGCCCTCTGGGAACTCACAGCTCAGGAGGAGACAGATGCAAGTCACAGTTAGAAGCGGCTTAAGCTACAGCAGACAGACTCAGAATAACAGCGGCTCAAATGAACTCAGTTATTTCTCATTTATGTGAAAGTGTAGGCTTGTTTGGCAACTCGACTCCATGAAGCCACCAGGGGCCCAGGTACCCTTCTATCTTGTTGCTTGATGCAGGAGTCAGAAGCAGAGCTAGAAAACTGAGTGTCATGCCAGGGATCATAAAGCCTGGGACAGAAGTAAGAAACAGAAAGTCTGGAGCTCCTTGGGGAGGCTCTGGCAGGTCCCCGTCCACACCTCCATGGTTTTGCCTGTTCTGGCTACAGTATGGGAAAGTTGGGCTTGTTTTAAGACCTAGGCTTGGGCTGGGCACAGTGGCTTACGCCTGTAATCCCAACACTTTGGGAGGCCGAGGTAGGTGGATCAAAAGCTCAAGACCAGCCTGACCAACAGGGTGAAACCCCATCTCTACTAAAAATGCAAAAATTAGCCGGGCATGGTTGCACATGCTTGTAATTCCAACTACTCGGGAGGCTGAGGAAGGAGAATCGCTTGAACCCAGGAGGCGGAGGCTTCAGTGAGCCGAGACTGCACCACTGCACTCCAGCCTGGGTGACAGAGCAAGACTCCATCTCGAAACAAACAAAAACAAACAAACAAAAAACAAAAACAAAAAAACCTTAGGCTTGGGGTAGACAACAGAAGCAGAGAGGTCAGAGAGGAGGAACAGATCCGAAAAAAAAGGAAGGAGGTGGAATCTCCAGGACTAGTCCCAACTCAAGTGAGTGAGGGAAGAGAGGGCAGGGAGAAAGCAAACATCCCAGCTGAGCACAGGGTGATGCCATACATGGCACCGAGGGAACAAAGGGCAGGGAGGGTGTGGGGAAGCTGAGTGTGAGGTGGAGGGGAGGGGCGCTTCAAGAGCCATCGTGAGCAAGCTGTGCGTGGGACATGAACTGTGTGTTTGAGTGGGAGAGTTGTCCGCAGAGAGATAGAAACTGGAGCCTACGATGGACAAGTTCTCCCAGGGTGAGCGCTTAGTCCAGGCTCTTCCCTAGATGGACCTCCCAATCCCTCGGGAAGCTTTTAGATGCCGACAGGAACCTGGACATCCTTGCCATCTCCTCCTAACAACCGCAAAGAGATTCTGACTCAGAAAGGTAGCCTGAGGCCCTATATGTGACTGGGCTCTTATACATGCAAGAAAAGAAACCCAACTCAAACTGGCTGGAGCAGAAAGGACTCTTGTCACCAGGCTTCTGGCACAATTTGATTGAAGGGATTCGATGATGTCTTCAGGACTCAGTCGCTCTCCACCTCTGTTTGCCTCCGTGTTGGCTTCATCTTCATTTATCAACAGTGGCAAGACAGCTGCAGCAGCTCCAGCTCATCCCTTTAGAAAGCCCTTCCAAGGAAATAGCTGTCGTTCCCAGTCACTCCAGTCCAACTCTCACTGGCCTGAACTGGGCCACATGTCCTCGCTGACCTAATCACAGTAGCCAGGGGAGATGAGAGAGGCCAACTGGTGAGGGTACTTCCTATTCATATGCCAGGTATGGAGTTAACCCCACCAGAGCCATATGTCCTGGGGAGAAGGTTCCCCAAAGGAAACTGAGGCACAGTTACTAGGAAAAGGGGGACTAGGCTCAGGGCAAATAAAGTGATGGGTGTTGGCTCCCCTGTGGCCTCTACAGGGGACCTGGGACAGGTCCTGGCCATGGAAGCTTTCCATGGGGAAGAAATGGGAGAGGCAGGTCAACAGCCATGGGCAGAACAGTCAAGCAGAGGACAGAGGACCTGCGGCCTTCTGGAGGAGGGCTGACCTTCGCTTTTGTCATGGGGAGCAGAAGAGGAATCTTTGGGGAAGCCTGAAAAGCTGGTGGGAGAGGCAGTGGGAGACAGCACAGCTGGGCCTCGGAGATGCCACGGTGGCAGTTTGGGTTTCAGGAAGGAGTTTGATGCTGTCAAAGCCACAGTGGAGGAAAAGAAATGGGGTTTGCTCAATAAAAATGGGCTGGGAGCAAATGGTAGGATTTTAAGGTGTAGAAAACGGAAGAGAGAAGGGTGGCCTTCCTGGCAGAGGGTCTAGCAGGAGCAAAAATGTGGAAAAACACAGAAAAGACTTGAAGAACAGTGCAGGTTGTATGCCTGGGGCATTTTTTCTTCATTTTTGTCTAGGCGTGTAACCAAGACCACAGTTCAAAATCAAAGTCTTTGGGTTAGCATTGGAGGCCCTCTCTCTTCTGACTGCAAACAAGAAAGTCTATTTCCTGGGTGTTTTTCCTGAGGCATCTGAATCCCTGCCTTTCTTCTGGGAGCCCTGAAGCACCGTTTATGGTCTTTACATGTTTTGTGGATTTTCGCTATTTTGCCTTTTGTGGCAGTTTTATGTGAACATGACTTGTCTTCCTTAACCAACTGTTTTTAAAGCTCCTGGAAGGCACTCTTTTCACCTCAGTGTCCCCAGGTCCTGGCCCCCACCTATGAAGAAAGAAGGATTCAAGATAAGCCACATGAGGCTGTAACTTGTGCCTGGGGTAGACAATGCTCTACCTGAAGGAAAAATATCCCAGGGTAAGAATTCTAAGCAGTGTAGGAAGAAGAAAAGAAGAAGAGGGATACCTGGGGATCAGGCCCCTCAACACAGGCTAACTCCTGCTGCTCACAAGCTGCTACTCTCAGCTATCAGTTGGGGAAAAAATGGAGGTTAACTGTGATCCATTTGCTTTCTCTGGGATGGAAACTTCTTCCTGTTTCACAACTGGGAGCCCAGTGCTAGCTGTGTCTGAGATGGCCCTAGCAGCCACGAGTTCCAGAGAAGGAGGCTAATGCCCTTCATTGAGTGCCTGCAGGGTGGCGGCACTGTGTTCACTGCTTTACATGCATTACCTCATTCAGTCCTTCCAGATGCGTAGATGCTTTTATTATCAGCCCATCTTATAAATGAGAAAACTGAGCCTCAGAGATGTTCAGCAACTTCCACACTGACAAAAGGGAGATTTACACCCGGGTTTCTCCGACTCCAGAGTCCCCCTGGAAGCTCCAGGGTTTGCAATGCTGGGGTCAGGTCAGGCTGGCGCAGCACCCTCCTCCTTCAGTTCCCAGTCGCAAGGATGCTCCAGCTCCAAATGTTTAGATTTCACTGCCTGAGCATTCCTGAGGGCCTCCAAAGTCCTGAAAGGGAAAAGATCAGTTTGCAGGATAAGGAGGGAATGAAACTAACTCCTCACCTCGGTTCCTCCATTCAGACTAGCCTGGGAGGGAAGCGGGGGAAGTCCAAAGTCCCTGAATTTCCGGGCCTGTACCTCCCAGTGCAGAAACTCTCCAGCGCCCCCTGGTGTTCCTCAATACCATCGCGTTCTCCCAAGGATTCCTCTGTAGAGTGGGGACTGGAACATCCCATCACAGGGATGGAGAAAACAGAGTGCCGTTGCCCCCTGAAGCCATCAGGGAAATCCTAGAACTGGAACTGGAACCCAGAGCTCCTGGCCCCCGGCTCTTTCAGCAGCATCACCTTCTACTCCTGTTGTCCTCCATAGTGGCTGACTGGCCCAGCAGTCAATGTCACCTTTATTATATATGATCTAAGTACTTACTATATTACAAGTCCAATACACACTATTAAGTGTGCCACACTCTATTAGAAGCGCAGTGATACTGTATTATATATCAAGTTCCATCAGGTCAATATAGAAAATGGGAAGTTTCTACTGGCATTCCTTGTTATTTTGAAATGGAATCCTAGCACCACTGCTGCCCCCATCTCCACTGCATATTTGAAAGCCCAGTCCTCTCTCCTCTGCCCGCTGTTCCCGCAAGATAGGCTTTCTCCCCAAAACTCAGTCCCACCACCTCATTCACAGGAATGTCAACAGGCACAAGGAGATAAAGTCTCTTGGGATACAAATGCTACTTAATGTGGGGGGTGGAGGAGGTGACAAGAGAAGAGAGAAAACTACCAAATGCCCTTCAGGCCACCAGTTTTTCTCTAACGGAGTGTAGGAAATGACAGCAGGAGAGAGCCTGGTTAGCTCTAAGCCTCCCACAGGGATGGAGCCAGAGTTTATGTAGGAATTGCTCACCTTTGATGACTGTGATGATTGGGGCAGGCTGGTCTCACCACAAAGTGATAGACGGCCGGGATCTCAGATTAGTGGCAGACAAGAAGCGGAGATGTCAGGACTGGTAGGCAGCCCCACTGAGCCACCTCTCAGATACCTGGAATAAGCTCTTTTGCTCAGTTTTCAGTTTCTCATACTACCTCAGGTCTTGGTCCTGAAAGAGAGAAAGGGGTGTGGGCTCTGCTGTCCCCTGGAGGGCTGACTTTTCACCCCAGAGTAAAGATGTGGTTGGCCGCCTGGCACTGGAGGAGCTGCAGATCTCAGGAGGTACAGAGTCCGCAGGGAGTTGGTTGTGGGGGAGAAGGAAGGGGTAAGAGGTTGAGGGCTTGGGGGTAGAGGAGCAGTGGCTGAAGGGATCAGGTAGTCCTGATCAGGACGTGGAGATTCACCCACAAGCCCTGACAATAACTCAGCCAGGTTCCTGGAGGGTCTCAAGGGCTGGGAAAGGTGGAGTGGTGCCTGCCCCACTGCCTCCGTGGAAGGCCAAACGAGCACTCGGTGTGAATCCGGAGAATGAGAGAGAAGTGCAGCCCCAGCTCCACTCCACACCCCCTTCCTGCCTATAAATAACCCAAGTGTCACTTCAAAGAGGACCGGGAGCGCGGGAGAGGGGCTCCCGGGCCGGCGGGCTGGGGCCGCCGGACCTGCTCACCACGCCCCCCACCCCGGGCGAGTTTGCATAAATAAACAAATTCAAGCCGTCGGCCCCGCGGGAGGTGGAGGAGGAGTGAGGAGGAGGAGGAGGGAGGGGGGCGGGAGAGATTAGTTTGGGAAGTAGCACGGATTGCTCATCCGATCCGTGCAGCCGCAGGGAGTGTGTCAAGTTACAGAGGCGCCGGAATCGGCCCCAGCGCTCCTCGCCAGCCGCCACTACCCACCTCTGCCCATGGGGCCCTCCATGTGCGCCCCTTCGCCCGGGGACTGAAACTGGCTGGCCCGGGAGACACGAGGTGCCCAGGAGGACTGACAGCGCGGCACCAACTGCTCTGCAGACTCTTGAAGGGAAAGACTGGGCGGAGAGAAGGAGAGCCGGTCAGATTCCCCTAACTTTCCTGGACTTGGAACGTTCTTCGAAATAACTTTTTTTCTCACCTAGGTGTACCCCAATTACCGCTGGTTGTGCTTTTTCGGCCCTTCCCCTCCTACTGCTAATTTTTCCGTCCTCTTTGCCGGGAGCAACGGAAAGGGACGTTTTCCAGCGATACAAGCCCTTTCCCCCTTGCCCCGCAGTTTGGATACAGCCTTTTGGCAGCAGCTGTCGCCTTTATTTATTCTATTTATTTATTTATTGGTTCTCAAGACGTGAGAGGATGGTAGCGGAGAGCACCCACAAAGCGGCAGCCACTGGTGCCTGCGGCCCTAGGGAGTTGGGCGCGCCCGGGACGGTGGCTCTGGCGGCGGCGCGGGCGGAGCGCGGCGCACGGCTGCCGAGTCCAGGGTCGTGCGGGCTGCTGGCGCTGGCCCTCTGCTCGCTGGCACTCAGCCTGCTCGCCCACTTTCGGACGGCGGAGCTGCAGGCCCGGGTGCTGCGCCTGGAAGCGGAGCGCGGGGAGCAGCAAATGGAGACGGCTATTTTGGGACGAGTGAACCAACTGCTGGACGAGGTCTGTGCTCTTTGTTGTTGGCTTTTATTCCTCCCCGCGGCGCCCCCTCGCGCAGCCTCCAGACTGTTCAGCCGGTGTCCGCGGACGCTAGCTGTCTGCGAGCCCCGGGTTCGTGCGAGTTGCCTGCGGGAGGGGTCGGGGACACGGACAGACGCTGCCCTGCCAGGGATTCGGAGGACCTGGTGGGCAAGAGCATGACCCCGCGACTCCCGCCTCCGGCAAGCTCTCCCGGCGTTCAGCGCTGGGAGCGTCCTGGGCGCGCCGGGCAGGTGGAGGAAGGCTGGGTGCGCGGAGGCTAGCAAGCTCCACTCCTCCCTTTCGGGACCTGGCGGGGTGGTGTGACAGCCGCCCCGCGCCCACGCAGCGGGAAGCGCGCCCAGAGGCCCAGGCTGAGGCTTACTGAGCCCCGTGGCCCTCCCCCTCCACCCCTTAAGGACGGGGGGTTGCGGGACGAGGGAACAGTTCTTGCAGGGGGTGGTGCCCTGGTCTCTGCTCACTGGCCCAGGCCGCTAGGATCCAAGTGTGGGTCGCCTGACTCTGCTGTCCTTGGCCGCAAATTAGTCCACACCTTCTTGTTCCTAAACCAGGTTTCTTATTTTTCTGGAAAAAGGATGCTTTCTCCCATTCTCCAAATTTTCTTGATCCAAGTAGATTAAACGCTACTAGTGTATCAGGTAGCTATGGCAATCTTGGGAATACAGAAAAAGGCTGTCCCCTCCCCAGGAAGGAGGGACATGCAGCCTCTTTGTGCCACCAGAGGAAAGGCTGGGCCTTGGCAGGGTGAGGCCTGATGATCTGTGGGAATCTGGACAGCACAGGGGATCCAGGGCCCAGATGGAGAGGAGGACAGGCAGGTGGGGGCTGCAGCAGTATGGGAAGAGGTCCTGGAGCAGGTCCTGACCATGGAAGGTCCTGACCATGGAAGGTCCTGACCATGGAAGGTTTCCATGGGGAAGAAATGGGAGAGGGTCTCTTACTTAGCTGGAGGGAGTGTGCAACAGTAAAGACCACAGTGGTAGAGTCCGGAAACCCTGGGTTTTTATCTCCACTCTGCTACTTGGAAACTTGGGACAAACGCTCCAACCCCTCTGAACATGCAAAACAGTGCTGATATAGCAAACACTGGAGCACAGCTCTACCTGTGGTGGGTGGGGTGCTGTGAGCATTTTGGCAAGATGTACCTATTCCCTACAGCCAGGCTCCTCTCAGCTGCCTCTGCCAGGCTCTCACCTGCTGGAGCAGTTCTCCAGGGTGGCCAAGGAGAAGGAGATTGCAGAGCCAGAGCAGAGAGGGCGGTCACAGGGCAAGCTTACTGGCGCTAGTGGTGCACCCATGACTGCTGCTGTCAGCTCATTCCCACGCCCTGCCAGCCTCCAGGGAATCCGGAGAGCTCCATCGGGTCGCCCATGGTCCCCTGGGCCTGGGGTGGAGGTGGGGCATCTCTGGGCTCAGGCAGTGTGAGCCCAGACTGGCTGGGTGGTGAAGAGGGTGTCAGGGCAGTGAGAGCTCCTCCAGGTATCTTGGGGGTCCTGGCTGCTGAGGGATAAAGCGTCTGATTTTCAGGGTTTAGCGCAGCCCCTCTGTCCATGCTTTCCCCTTCCCAGACCTTCCTGCTGGCCTGACCACACCCTGGCCTTTCTTAGCTCCTTGCTTCCGCTGCTTCAGACTTAGCCATGCCAAGTCCTATACTCTAGGGGCCTTGGGGCTATATGGTGGATACTATTGTATCCAACATGCTCACTCCTTCCCTCCAAGCTGCAGCTCCGTATTTACCCTACTGAATGTAATCTTTTCAACTACTAGATATCAAAGTTATCCCAGAGAATATCTGAACTGAACCCCATTTTTAAGGTGGGGAAATTGAGCCCAGAGTCACATAGTGAGGTCCAGGACTAGAACCTCAGCCTCCTGGCCCTGTATACAATGTTCTTTGCACTGTATCCTGCCATCTTTTTTTTTTTTTTGGTCTATTCTCATTCATTCATTCAGTAAATGTTTATTGAGAGCCTGCTGTGGATCAGGTATTGTGGGAGACACTTTTGCCCTCCTAAACTTACAGGGAAGTAGTGCACAAAGAAGAAAATGGGTAGTGACCATGCCGTGTACAAAGAAAAAAAAAAGCTACAATAGTGAAAGAAGAGAGGGGCCTGGGGAATGCATTACATGCAGCATTGTCTGATGGTGGTGGCAGTCATGGCAGCCTTCCTTAGGGAAGTGATTTTCAAATGAAGAACTGAAGGATGAATAGGAGTTTGCCAGGCAAAAGTGGGTGAGTGAAGCCTTGTTCTAACGGGACAAAGGGAACAGTCTTTGAGGCTGGAGGCCAGAGGGAATTGGGAGAAGTGCGGGAAGTCCAGGACCCCGGAGGACTGGGAGGGTGAGAAAGTAGGAGATGTGGCTGGAGAGAGCTCAGGTCAAGAGGGGCCTTAGAGAAAGTTAGATCTAAATAAGAGTAACAGGGAGACATTGAAGGGTTTTGAGCAAGGCAGTTATGCCCCTAGAGTGAGTGCTTATGGCTGGCAAACCAGTAAGGCCAAACAGGAGGCTGCTGCAGGCCAGAGGGGACAATGAATGGGGGTGAAAGTAGGATCAGAGAGGGGTGACTGGAAATGGTGGCTGAGGTCAATAGGGGAAGATGCTGGAGCCAGAGGAAGGGAACTGTGCCACAGGTGGATGGTGTGAGTGGCCTTATCTGTGGGTGCCTTCTCTGTGCTCCTGGAGGGACACCCTAGTGTTGGACTGTCCAATACAGAAACTGCTATTCATATGCAACTCATTACATTTAAACAAACTAAAATTAAATAAAATTTAAATTTTAGCTTGTCTGTTGCAACAGCCTGGTTTCAAGTGTTCAGTGGACACTGCAGCTAGAGACTAGGGAGCTGGACAGTAGAGAGAAAGAATATGCACATCCTCGCAGAAAGTTCTGTTGGCCAGTGCTGTGCTATGAGCAGCTTCCAGGCCTGCAAAGCAACTTGAGGGGACCATCCTGGGCCTTTCCCTGTATAGGTGTGTTCTCCCAGGTCTGAGCAAAGGGCAGAGGAGAGGAATGGGTAAGGCAGGGAATTGGGACAGGTAGAAACCTGCCACGGGAGAGGAAAATTCAGAGACAAGAGAGGGGAAATGATTTTCTTACAAAACAATTCTCCAAAATGGAGGCGCAGAAGGTGCCTGTCCTCACGGGGCACACAGGCATCTGGTGAATCTGGGGGCCAAGACCAGGATTCTAGCTGGGCTTTGCCAGTCGTGTGGCCTTAGGCAAACCATGCTACACTCCTGCACTTCGGGTTCATCTTCCATAAAATCTAGGCCCTGCCTCCCTCCTGGGATTGGGGACAGATCGGAGACTTCACTAAAAGGTGCCATCACCAAAGACCATGCACAAGACCAGATGAGTGCTCAGGGAGGGCTCTTAGGGACCTGGGGCAGGCAATCGTTGGAGCAGGCAGGACTGGGCCACTTCCTAAAGAATGGGAGAAGGACACTGGGGAGGGCAAGCCTGGTGAGGCACACGGCCTGTGCAGTGAACTGGGGGTGGGACTCCAGGGCACACGCATGTCACCCATGCCAATGGGGAAAGCAGGTGATGTGGCAAAGACTGTGTCTATGAGGCAGAAGGAAGAGGGAGCTGCAGGGAGGGCCGGCCAAGGGGACCCAGGGGGACAGGAGGCCTGAGAGGGGAGCCAGAGGCAGATCCGAGGGGACCAGCCCACGACGGGGGTTGTGCAGAGCCGGGACTGGAGGATGGCGGGAGCCGGCTCTGTGGGGAACCAGGAGTGTGCTTTCCAGACCTCAGGCCCCAGCTCTTCCCCCATCAGTGCCTCTCTCCTGGTCTGGGACCGTTAACGAGCAGTCCAGCTGCCTGTTATTTGATTTGCTTGCTGTGAGAAAGAAGCTGGAATGTCCCAAATGGAGAAAATCAGATGACACCCAGGACTGGGCAGCCGTGTGCAGTGAATGAGAAAGGAGTGGAATTTAAAAGAGCCAAATGCTGGGCCGAGTGCGGTGGCTCACACCTGTAATCCCAGCACTTTGGGAGGCCAAGGTGAGTGGATCACCAGAGGTCAGGAGTTCGAGACCAGACTGCCAACATGGTGAAACCCCAGCTCTACTAAAAAATACAAAAATTAGCTGGACATGGTGGCGGGCACCTATAATCCCAGCTACGCGGGAGGCTGAGGCAGGAGAATCGCTTGAACTGGGAGGCGGAGGTTGCAGTGAGCTGAGATCGAGCCATTGCACTCCAGCATGGGCGACAGAGCAAAACTCCGTCTCAAAAAAAAAAAAAAAAAAAAGCCAAATCCATTTTCTAGGCCCAAGGGGAAGCAGAGGAGGGTCTCAGCAGCCACTTTTAAGGTGAGTTTTGGGAGATGCCAGTTAGACTTCTCACCCCCAATGATAACATCATAAACTGTACTAGAAACGTCCCATAGTTATAGGGTACATACAGGGGCCAATGCTATGCGTGTTACCATTATATCTCTTTCAATCCTCGCAACTTCCCTAAGGGACTGACATTCACACCACCCCATTTTACAGATGAGAAGACTGATGTCACTGTACCTCCCTCCCACTATCTCTGATTCATTCCTTTGAATGTTAAAGAATCTCCTGGGAGAGGAAGTGGTTAAAACTTCCAGACTAAAATGTTGAGGAACCCCAGGCACACTCCTTCATCCCTAAAAATAACAACAATTATAATAACGTGTCTCGTGTTTATACGGTGTATGATTTTGGTGCAAAAGTAATTTCAGTTTTTGCCATTGAAAGTAATGGCAAAGAGATATAGGGGACAGATATAGGGGAGGGATCAAAGCAGCAGCTGAAAGATTGGGGCTCTGGATGGGGTCCTTTAGGACTGAAATGCTGGGATGAGGATGGGAAGAAACTCTTACAGGGGAAGTGCATGTGTGCTAGGGTGGGTAACCTGTGCACAGTGTCCTGTGCTGACCACAGCTGCCTGGACCTCAGTATATGGACAGACTCTGGATCCAGGTTTC